GTGTTCAGCAAGATGTGAAAGCCGTTGCTCCGCTGTTACTCACGGGGTCTCACAGCCAGGGCATGCCAGAGGTGAGGAAGGGGATCACACTCTCCTTTATCTCCTCCATCTCTTTGCCTTCCTAAACAGCTGTGTTCCTCACTGAAAAGGGAGCTGCAGAGCATTTCCGTGTGGAGATTCTGCCTCATTCATATCCACCTCTGTCAGGGACCTGCTCTCAGGCTCCCCCCGGGCATGTGCATGAGGTTGGAAGAAGCGGGTCACTGCAGGAGTGTGTCAGTCTGTCACGCCACTCTCTCCAGTCTGGTCTCATGGTGTTCCTTACCAATTTAGGGACTTAGTAGGGGGATATCTATATGGATAGTTACATGTTATGAACCAGTTCCCGTTCAGTGTCTCTACAATGATGTAAATTTTCCAGTGAAATATCCTTTGGCTGAAGTTCATTATTTTCTGGTCTTGCATTGTTAGCAGAGACTGCTGTCTGCTATCTGTGCCACTTGTATTTCATGTAACTTACTGAAGTTTTATTTGTGCCCTAATACAAGCTAGATTTTTTTTAATGAAAGTTTCAAGTATGTTTAAGAAGAAAGTATAATCTCTATTATTAGAGTACAAAGTTTGATGTAATGTCCCTAAGACCTTGGCCTGTTACTAGCACTCTTTCATGTTTAGTTACTTCTGACCTCTTACCTTGCTGTGGCTGACAGTCAGTGTTAATGATTGCTATTCTTGTGTTTCTGTTTCTTTCCCCAACACCTATAGTTTCTGCATTAGAAAGACGGCTTCTGTGTTTGGGGGTTCTAGTAGGTTCTTAACTCATGTGGCCTCATTATGCACTGGGTCCTTCAGCATCAGGAAGTGCCCTTCTTGGTCTTGTTTCCTGCTTTGAGGTGAGGCTGGGCCTTGTCTGACAGGCAGATTTCAACGCATGCTCTTCAGCCTGGTACATTTGCCTGACATGCTTCGGCTCATTTCTTGACATTTAGCCTTTTCAAATCACTTGGCAGTTGTCGTATCTCTTGTGTAAAGCAGAGCTGGCTTTGTGAGCCGAGTGGAAGATTGCATAGGGCCAAAACCATTTACATTTACTCACGTGTTGCTCGGACCGCTATGTCCAGTCTCAACTGCCACATAACTTGTTCCTGTATTTAATGTGTGTGTTGTTGTGTTTTATTTATTGTGCATCTGTTTTTTAAATGTAATTTGTGTCTTCACTTATCTTTTTCTATTGTTTTCAGCATTCAGGAAGGTCTATGTTTTGTCCTGTTAGCTGCTGTTATAATAACACTCCTCGTAGCACCTTAGTCCTCTGTTTCTTTTTGTTTGTTTGTTTGAGATGAAGTCTCGCTTTGTCACTAGGCTGGAGTGCAGTGGTGAAACCTCAGCGCAGTGCAACCTCCGCCTCCTGGTTTAAGTGATTCTCCTGCCTCAGCCTCCCGAAGAGCTGGGATTACAGGCGTGCACCACCACATCCAGCTATTTTTATATTTTTAGTAGAGGTGGGGTTTCACCATGTTGGCCAAGATAGTCTTGATCTCTTGACCTCGTGATCCACCCACTTTGGCCTCCCAAAGTGCTGGGATTACAGGCGTGAGCCACCATGCCCAGCCTAGTCCTCTGTTTCTTCCTCTTAACTTGTTATTTGGCTTGTCCAGTGGGATTCTTTTCCCCTACCTATTTCTCATGCTTCAGTCTGTGAGCTTATTCTTCATTGTTGTTTTTTTTTTATTATTAATTTACCTCTGATTTATTTACTGTATTTTTACTTTTTCAGAACAGCATGCTCCCAGTAAGAAGCTGTTTCTTACCTCACCTCCATCCTCGTTCTTACCTCCATCCTCATCTCCATCCCCACTTCCATCCTCATCCCTACCTCCATCCCCACCTCCATCCTCAACTCCATCCCCACCTCCATCCCCACCTCCATCTCCCCTCAATCCCCATCTCTATCCTTACCTCCATTCCCACCTCCATCCCCATCTCCATCTCCATCTCCCCTCAATCCCCACCTCTATCCTTACCTCCATCCCCACCTCCATCCTCATCCCCACCTCCATCCGCATCCCCACCTCCATCTCCCCTCAATCCCCACTTCCATCCTCACCACGATCCCCACTTCCATCCTCACCACCATCCCCACTTCCATTCCCATTCCCATCTCCATCCCCATCCCCACCTCCATCTCGCCTCAATCCCTGCCTCTATCCTTACCTCCACCCCCACCTCCATCCCCATCCCCATCTCCATCTCCCCTCAATCCCCACCTCTTTCCTTACCTCCATCCCCACCTCCATCCCAACCTCCATCCTCACCTCCATCCTCATCCCCACCTCCATGCCCACCTCCATCCCCATCTCCATCCTCATCCCCACCTCCATCCTTGTCTTCACTCTTTGTTTTAGTCTTTGATCAACAGATTTGTTATTTTTGTTTATGTCAAATTTCCCAGTGATCTCTTGACTTGAGGGAGATTCTTTTGTAGTAGGTTTCTCATGAAGGGCCTGGAAACAAAATGTTCATTGAGTTCTTGGATATTTAAAACTATATCTATTTAGCTTTAGTTTTGAAACACAGTTTGGCTGACATAAAGTCCTTTGGTCACACTTTATTTTTACTTGAATTTATGAAAATATTGCTCCACTGTTCACTTATCTTGTACATGGTAGTCAGGAAGTCCGATCCCCATCTGATTTTCTTTCCTTTGTGAATGAGCTGGCCTTTTTGCCTGGAGTCCCAAAGAATTTTCTCTTCCATTTTCATCATTTACTGGGCTCTGCCTTCAGGGCAACCATTCTGGGTCAGTTTGTTCAAGTACACTATGAGCCTTTCAACTTGTAGATTATTTTCTTCCAAAGAACATTTCTAGGATTTTAAGTATTAGTTCTGTTTTGTAGTTTTGCTTTTCTTTCTTGGGAGCTCCAGTCTGTGTTTCTTGGATCCCTGTGGCCTGGGCTCTGCATCTGGCAGCTTCTCTGCACGTCTCTAACCTCTTGTCAGCCTCATGTTCTCTTGGACGCATTCCATCCTCCTGCAGTGTCCCTTATGCAGTTGTTACCGGTAGAGGGTGTCCCGGTTCTTGGCATCTCGAACAAAGGATTGGAGAAAATGCACAAACAAAGCAAGGAAAGCAAAAGGAGGCATTTACTGAGAACGGAAGTACACGCAAGTGTGGGAGAGCCGCACTCACAGAATCTTCTGGGGTTTCAGTACTCCAGAAGTTTCCCATTGGGTACCTGGCAAATATTCGATGAAAATGAAGAGGATGAAGTGAAGTCACAGAGTCATTTACTCAGAATGTGCCCTATTGCAAATGGAGAGGATGTTATTTGGAGCACGTGGTCGGTGTAAATGGAGAGAATGCACGTGTCGTTACAGAGTGTAAACGGCATCAGGGGAGAGGATGAGTGAAGCTGCAGAGCCATTCACGTCCCTGTGGTTGCTGAGGAGCATTCACTTGACTGAGTTATAGGAAGTCAGCCTGGCTTGGCCACATGTTCCCTGCCCCCAGGCCCTATTCTCCTGCCTTGCTTTCTGCTGAATTCTCTTTTGGTACCTTGTAACTTAGTCTCATTTCTAGGCCAATTGTGTTGTTCTCATTAATTTTTTTCATAGGTTAAATTAATTATCATTTCACAGTTTCTTAACTGTGCATTTGTATTCTTTGTATTTTTGGTGTTTCACTTCTGGTGTTTCTCATATCTGCACAGCTTTTACTCATTTTACTCTGTGCTGCAGTGCTGTGTGGGAGTTCTCAGTTCCATCAGCTGAAGAAGTTTTAGTGCCCACATCCTGTTTCCTTCTCCCAGAACCATGATGGACTTCAGGAGGGGCTGCTACTTGGAGAAAGTCATTTACCCAAAGGGATTTTGCATGCCTTTGTTTTCTATTTTTATTTTAAAAGCACTTGGATTTCCCTGGACTTGCAGTAACAGGTGTTTCTAGCTGGGAATGGACGTGCTGAGTGACATGCGGTGGGTTACCAGGTTTCTTTGTCCAATAGCATCCTTTTTTGTGGGTCAGCAAAAAACGTAGTTTTTTTTTTAAAGAAAAAATACCAAATGGTGCATTTGGAGATGGATTAAATATGTGTCTTCTTTTGCCTTGCTATGCTTTTATTTCCATAGGAAACTGAATTTCCACTCTTTCCGTCCTTCCCTTTTTCTCCCAAGGTTCCAAATATTCTTTTTTTTTTTTTTTTTAAAGACAGAGTCTCACTCACTCTGTCACCCAGGTTGGAGTGCCATGATGTGTTCTCAGCTCACTGCAACTTCCGCCTCCTGGGTTCAAGTAATTCTCCTGCATCAATCTCCCAAGTAGCTGATTGATCACCCACCACCACACCTGGCTAATTTTTGTATTTTTAGTCACCCACCACCACACCTGGCTAATTTTTGTATTTTTAGTAGAGATGGTGTTTCACCATGTTAGCCAGGCTGGTCTTGAACTACTGACCTTAAGTGATCCTCTAACCTCAGCCTCCCAAAGTGCTGGGATTACAGGCATGAGCCACCACATCCAGCCCCAGATGTGCCTTCTTTTTCCAAGTCTCTCCTCTAAGAGCATGCTGAAATTGAAGAAATTAGATGAAATCCATTCACTGTCAGTGAAATTAGAAAAACAGCAATGTGTTTAAATTAATATATAATAAATATTGTTTTAAAATAGTGTACATATAAAAACATGAAAAGAAAAAAATAAAAATAAAAAAATCAGCGTACATGTAAGCAAATATACTAAGTACAATTTTATCAAAACATTTCATATAGACGTCTCACTTGGGAGTGGAAGCCTGCCTTTGTGTTGAGTCGCCTCACCTGGGGCATGGGGGGAATAGTCCTAGGGTGAGCGCTTGCAGGCACTTCATCTCCATACTCATGCATGCTAAAGACGCGTTTACTGCTCTGTTGAAGGCAAGAGGCAGTTCCACTGAAGCCCAATGCTGATGGACAGGCCCTGTGCTGGCAATGCTCACACAGCCCTGTGTTTTTGTGTTTTAGGTAAGTGGGCTCCACGACAGAAGTCAACCCTTCTGTAAATCACCCGCTCTGGTTATGATGCTCTGAGTTCAATATATCTGAACTGTTGCTGTCTATGGATCTGCTCTAAACCTTATAGCCTGCTTATGGGGGAAGGTGAGTTACTGTCTTTTGTTTGCATGTTTGTTTGTTTACCAAGAATGTATATAACAAAGTCAACTTACCCTTGACAAATGAAGGATGTTAGAAGTGACACAGTACTGTATTTCACCCTGCTTTGGTCCACAATGCGCTCTGAGGCCTATTCTGTATATGACTGTGGGAAATCAAGAGTCCCTGGTTTTGGTAGCAGTGAGCTGGTTGTGGTTGAACACCTTGGGGTCTAGTTCCAGGCCAGGTGGTTCTCGCAGTGCTTTCTGGCTCTGCCCTGGAGCCAGCCCTGAGACGCCAGGGAAGCACAGGTTTCAGGAATGAAGGACACGAAGGCTGCGCTGGGGGCTGAAGAGCATCTTGAGGTGTCTGGAAACAGTAGGTGATGAGAGCATCAAGAGTGGGGGTGCTGTTTTGGTGGCCTGACGATATCCTGTGGCTTGAGCTGTTACTATGAACTTGTATTGACACAATTGCAAGGAAAGTTGGATGAATGAGCAGTTGTTTGGTGATTTTAACACATCTCTCAAAGAAGTAGGTCAACAAAAAATAAGCAGTAGTATTAATATCTTAAGCAATATAATAATTAAATTTGAGCTGTTAGGTATATTTTGAACTCTACATGTTACTTTGTAAGCATACAGAGAACATACGAAACTAGGATGTGTACAGGTGAGTCTGTCTGTAACATAGGGATGTATGCATACAGGGGAAGTCCATCTATAACACAACATGTGGAGAGCATAATTCAATTAAACTGGAAATTAACCATAAAGGAATAGCTTATATAAATAATATGCTATAAAAACTTCTTGTTTGAAATAAAATCATAAAAGAAATTCAAGAACTTTAGGGCTGAGTGATTATGAAGCAGTATATGTCTAAATTAGCCTGACACAGCTAAAGCAGTGCTTAGAAGGACATTTGTAGCTATAAACACACGTGTTAAGAAGCATGAAAAATTAACTCCAGAAGCTGAAAAAAGAGCAAGGAAGAAAGCCCAAGGATCCATAAGGCAGGAAAGAATACAGGAAATGGCAGGAATCAATGAAATAGAGAGCACAGAAAAACAGAAAACTAGCAGAGCTAAAAGCTGTTTAGTGTTTTAGAGTCTATAGTTAGATCTCTGGATAAAGAAATGGAGGGGTGATACTGGCGACAGTCAGTGAAACAGGATATAGGAAAGAATGAATGAGTGAATAAATAAATAAAAATAAATATAGATGGATGGATCGATAGATAAGAAATAGCCATAGATACAACCAAGGAGAAAAGTTAGAGTACTGTGGGAAACCACAAGTTAACATGTTTGAAAGCTTAAGTGACAGTGATAACTTCCTGGGAAAATCCAAAGTACCAAAATAGGCTTGAGAAGAAATGGAGAACCTGGATAGGCCAATAGAAACTAAAGAAATTTAAATGACAATCAAACAAAGTTCTCACATTTTTATGGGTGAATCATACCTAATTTTAAGGAGCACTTGATTTCTACCTTGTACAGGTTGTTTCAGAAAATAGAGAATAAAATAAAAGCTCCTCAGCCCTGATGCTGGGATGAAGAGAGGCTGGTCAACAGGTATGCGAAGTTACAGTCAGACAGGAGGAGTAAATGTTGGTGTTCTATTAACAATAGGGTGACTATAGCTAATAATAATGTGTCTTTCCAGATAACTGGAAGACAGGATTTTGAATGTTATCACAAAATGATAAATGTTTACAGTGATGGATATGCTAATTACCCAGGTTTGATCCTTATATAATGTATACATGTATTGAAGCATCATACTGTATCCTATAGATATGTACAACTATTACGTGTCAATTATAAATAAAGATTAAAAAACGGTAAGGAAAGTGGCCTGGAAAAGACAAGGAAAAATTTCTCCAAAGCCTTCAGAAGGACACCACCCTGCAGACCAGACACTCTCCAAAGCCTTCAGAAGAACACCACCCTGCAGACACTCTCCAAAGCCTTCAGAAGGCTCTTCTTATTGACAGGAGCCAGCACCTACCAGTAACCAGAAAGCCTCAAGCCCTGGTGCTGGCTTCTCTGCCACTCTTGGACCCATGAGCCCTGGATGTGGATGGGGGAAGCAGGGCTGCCCCCTGGGGCCTTGCTCTCCAGTGTTGACAGAGGTATCATGTAGGAAAGGCTCGCAGAGGGAGGGGATTGAGGGCAGGGGTTGGGCTTCCCCCACAGCCAAGCCAGGCCTCTCCCATTCCCACACCCTTCCCACTGACTGCCAATACTCAGCCTCACCCTGCAGTCCTGCCTTGCGAGCCGTTCCCCAAGGAGACTCATGGAACTCTCTCACCTTCCTGCAGTCTCTGATCTGCCAACCAAAATGGGACCGTGGAAGATTTAAATCCATGCAGAGGTTTGTTTTGCTAAGAAGATTGAGGACTCACCAGGGAAAAAGATACAGAAGTTATTGTAGGACCTGTGGTCTGGGCTTTCTCCAAAGAGAGTTTTGAGGACTTTTAAGCAGAGGAAGACATGAGTGTGTCTTGGGCTGGGCGGAGGAGGGATGGCTTTTGGTCTTGTCTTAGTCCTGTACCTGTGAAGATAAGCTGTTTATTTACACTGGCAGGGTGAGATTCAGCAGGACACTGCCTTAGGGCACAGACTTTGGGGCCCAGAGGGTATTTCATTGTGGGCAGCTGGTGAGGGAGACCCCTGGGGAGACTCATGGCCTTCTGTCTGCAGCCGTCTGCTTAGGACCAAAAGGAAGGCCGCCTTTGCGTGACTTTGTTCCCAAGCTGAACTCTTCGTCATAGTGGGTTTGGGGTCCTGAGATTTTATTTTCCTTCCACAGTTCTCAAGTCCTCCTTCAGTGAGGTCTTCCTGATGGATGCTGATATGGTTTGGCTGTGTCCCCACCCAAATCTCATCTTGAATTATAGCTCCCACAATTCCTACAGGTCATGAGAGGGACCAAGTGGGAGGTAATTGAATCACAGGGGCTGTTCTCATGATAGTAACTCTCACGATATCTAATGGTTTTCTAAACCAGAGTTCCCCTGCACATGCTCTCCTTGCCTGCCGCCATGTAAGACGTTCCTTTGCTCTTCCTGCATCTTCACCATGATTGTGAGGCCTCCCCAGCCATGTGGAACTGTGAATTCATAAAGTCTCTTTCCTCTGTAAATTACACAGTCTCGGGTATGGAGTATGTCTTTATTAGCAGCATGAGAACAGATGAATATAGATGCCAGCCCTGTCCGCTGCCACCAAGTCCTGTTGCTTGTCTGCTCCTTTGTTGGTGTTGCTGTCCTTGGGACATGAGCTCTGTGAATGCCTGGCACTGCACTGCAGTATCAGCAGGCGCCTGACCAGTAGCAGCTGGGCCGGGAGGGGCCAGCAGAGGTGGTTCTCCGAGAGGGAACTGCATCATAGGGGGTCCCCCTGCATGGGCCTGTGCCAGAAGTGGGGATGAATGCATTCCACACTCTCCCCTATTTACTGATTCAGAGCCCCTGGGGAGGAAAACTTTCAGGTTGCCCAGGAAACTCCATGGTGACCCTTGGGACCCTGGACAGCTGGCCTCCCACTGGCTGCCAGCCTCACCCTGGCTCCTGCCTCTGCCCAGGGAAGGCCAGTCCTAACACTCAACATCTCCCCTGTTGGCGAAACCGCCCTGGGGCAGACTCCACACTTGGCTGGGCACCTCCCTCTCCAGGGCCTGTTCCAGCACCGAGTGGGCCTTTGGGGATCATGCACCGTGAGCAGCACTGACCTGGACTCCAGGTGAGGGCACTTCGCCTGCCAGGCCTGGTCTCCACTCCTGGGTCACAGAGACTTTTCAGCTGAGGAAGCAGGGCCGGCGGCCCCTTCCTTTACCACCTGCACATGGGAAGGGAGGCTGCTCCTGGGGAGCACAGAGGGCTGCTTCGCAAACCACAGCAGCTGTGCACAGGAAGGGGCCTCAGGGACCAGCCAGCCCAGGGATGCCCTGTGCCCCCATCTCCTAACAAAGGCACCCAGAAGTCAAGCACTGGGGTGTCCTTGGCACCTGGATCGGAAGGTTCTCGCCGTCGTGGATGGGGTCTGCCCTCCTGGGCTGCTGGTGGGTGACCCAAGGCTCTAGCGTGCAGCTTCGGGAAGACCAGAGCCAAGCCCGGGCGCCCCTCCAGCGGACAGCCGGGCTGGGCCCTGGGCAGCTTCTCCTTCCCATGACTCCAACTCCAACTCCCAGGGTATGTGGGTGCCCTTCTGTGTCCTGGCGGTTTTAGAGAAAGGAATGAAGCAGCTGTATTCACATACATGTACTCAATTTGGCATTTTCACAGCAACACCATTAGGTCCCTAATTTTATGACGTCGAAAGTTGCCTGTTGCAGGAGTGACCCGGCTGAGAGCAGTTAGGACTGTGCAGCTGACTCCCTAGACATTTCCACACCACCTTGTTATCTATGTTGAGCATGCAGTTGGGCAATAACTCACATGGCCTTTTATCCCCTTTCTACCCAAATGGCTGAAAAACAGAAGGAACCAGAGTTCCGTGGAGAAATGGCAAATTCTGGGTGGGGAAGCACAGATAAGCCTGAGCACATGGCAGCCCCAAGGCAGAAAACCTGACACCTTAATAAGGCAGAGGGACACCGAAGTCAGCCTGAAACAGCATCCCACAGCCAACACCAAAGGTCATGTGATGCCATGTGAGGGCACAGAGTGAAACAGGCGTGATGGAGACAGTGGGGAGACAGGCAGCCCTTCCTTACACAGGCGGTTCACACACGTGCAGCTGTGCCCCTCTGGCTGGCAGCGACCCCTCCCCTGAGCAGTCCCTGAGAGCAGGATGGGTAGAGGAAACAGCCATGGTGAGTGGTAGCCCCTGGCAGTGACCCTGTGGAGGTGCAGCGCTCACCCTAGGCGCAGGTAACTGTGTTCGGCCTCCACCCCAAGGCTGCTGGCAGTGACCCCTCCGAGCGCAGCCACCCTGCACCTCCCCTCACTCTCACTGGACTCACCCTCACCCTCACTGGACTCTCAGTGGCATCCAGCCG